AAAAAAAAAAACAATCTGCGTTGTGATATGATGCATATCACATATGATAACAGAAATCATTTCCTTGCTGAAAAAAATAATTATGTTTACACAGAACTTCATGTGCTTATTTTTATTTTTGTGTCAACATGAAGCTGTGCATGCAATGAATATTACTGCTGTGCTCACACAAATAAGCAGCGCCCTCAATGTTATGTCAGTGATCTATTGATCACTCATTTTCTAGAGGGCGTCCTTTATATCGCGCGAATTGGGCATTCAGAACACATTCGGTTAGAACAGGCGCCGGGCAGGCGGACAACAGAGGGTGATTTACGTCTTGTCATTGTGCTATTATGTAGAAAAATAAATTGCGGTTATTTCTCACAAAACGTCGATGATGTACGCTCAATAAACTACATGTTCGAAAAGAACACAATCTCTTTTTTCTTTCAACTTTGAAATTTTCGGTCTAAAACAAATTTTTAAGGATGTTACATTTTTGTGAGAACTTCTACACAGATAGTAATTGGTGAGACATTTGCACTGTTCCTGTCAAATACATTAAGCAGAATTTCTGGTCACAGTGATGTGAGATGGGTGTGAGCAATCGTCGTTCCAACAGCTCTATCAGGTTATGCAGTAGTCCGTCATTTAAAGTAAGGCAAATCTCGAAAAAAATGCATATTCAGTGACGAACAACTACCGATTCTTACAGTATCGACTTTGTGAATGAGGACACAAAAGCAAATTGTTGCTGGAGGGCGAACTTAGAGGAATTTTTTCCCCGGGCATTTAGGCCAAAAATCGCTAGATCTGTCATGAAATGAACAACACGACTCACTGAGTTGCTAACTTTCATTATTTTCAATTAGTCTTGGGATGTGTCTGCAAGTCTCAAAATACAATAATGCGAAATATTGGCCGTCCATAAATTGGGTTACCCCTTTCGCAACTTGTCCGTTATTTGTGTAAAATAGTAGAACTCGCAGTCAATATTCGCGCAACTGTGACTCATGGCGGTAGACAGTGGCGGATCCAGAGGGGGGGCATGCCCCCCAAACGCATGACGATTCGTATTATCTGGATTACGCATAGC